GATACAACATTTGAAATTTATACGTAACCATAAACTTACCTTAAGTGTTTCCACTTTCTGCCGTTTTGTTTGTGGATCACAATCTAAAGAGTATTCACTGTTATAGAAAATATCAGTGTATAATGGATCGGCATCTGAATCATCAAATTCACAATCACTTATTTCGTTAAAATTTTCAGCCAGATACTCAAGTTCGTGTAAAGAAAGGTATCTCTTGTTATTTTTAGACATTGTACATAAATAAACCCGACTACAATGAAGGTCTACCAGTAACTGGTATGGTATGCCACTCGACAAGACAATTTCGTATCTCCAAATTTTATCTACAATGATGCCGATTTTAGTATGCTAGGATTACCGAACTAGTATTCAAACTTTCATACGACCGTCTAAAGGAATGATACTACACGTATAATAAATACACTATACTTCATCTAATTTACATACCGATGCACGTCATAGGCGTTATAGCCCTTGACGTCACATAATACCAACACGAAATATTTAGGCGGTAGGTGTGTTCTTTTTTAGAATCACTTTGCCGAGTACACTGGCATTACAGCCACTAGACATATTTTATTATACCGAGTTGCCCAAAAGTCGGGAAACGGCCAATTATCTCGTAAATTGCTAGTTATAATTGTACAAAATTTGAGGTACACCTATTTTTGGATACGGAGATTCCATATTTGATATTTGCAATGTTGCCAGATTTACCGTTTCTCTGATATTATTAGTAACTTTGGTTTTTCAAATACATCACCCTGTATATTCAGTCATTATTAGAATCTTCTATTCAATACGAGTTTAACTATATGTATCACTTACGATTTTTTATAGTCTGGAAGGTCTTAAATATATAAAACAGAAGTCTGCCAAAGCCTAATTGTTTCAATAAATTTTTTGATACTAATTATTTTCAACTACATTAAAACGTAACAATTGATAGATTACACAATTTTTTAACAATAGTTACGTTATTAAGTGTTCAAAATGTGCTCAATTTGTGAGTTGACAGTACCCTAATCGATGGTAGAATGCGTTTACCCCATTTCTCCATGATTGTCTAGAAATTATTTGAGATTAATCGATAATTCGTTGCCTTTGCTCTGCAAAACTTGCTGGTTAAGTTTTGTAAACTAAATTTTTCAAGTAACCCTAATAAAAATAATCCTTAGGATTAAAATCGGGTGAACGTGGAGGCCATTCAATTCTACCTTGTCTATCAATTTATCGTACGGAAAATATCTTATCTAAATAACACCGAACATTTACAGCAACTATCTGACGTTAAATTTCCTTCGATAAAAAATGACCCAATTGACTAAGTACCTACTATACCTGATCATAGATTTAATTTTTGTGGTCTGGTATGGTTTTCATGCATTCAGTGTGAATTTCATACGAGTTCAAAAATATGTAACACTTATGATTGTAAGTAGTCTGGAAGGTCTTAAATACATAAAACATTGCAAAATATGTAGATTTTAATAAATTTAAATATTTAAATGTAGAATGCTATGATATTGACATTTGTTTACGATTTACATTATAAACTAAAACTGACAGTAGTTCTGTTTCGAAAAGTTCTGCAATTTAAATTGCTTCTCTAAAATGCCGTTCTCTAAACCGTTCTCCTATTCATAAGGCGACGGTACAAAAAACTGTAAAACGATTTGAGAAATCTAAAAAAGGTAAAGATAGATGAAAAGAGAAAAGTTTTGTTAAAGATCCACATACATCCTCAGGCAGGGTTGCACAAGTACATGATGTAGGTCGTTCTTCAGTCTTACGTATATTACGTAAAAATAAGTTTAAACCATACAAAATAAACTTATTGCAAGAATTAAGTGAAGATAACTTCGATCTTAGATTAGAGTTTACTGAAGTAATGATGGATAAAATTGAAAATTATTAAAATTTCGTAACAGAATATGTTTTTCGATGAAGCCAATCTTTACAATGTGTGGAAGTGTAAATCGACACAATTTAAGGTACTGGAGTGACGCAAATTCACACTGAATGAGTGAAAACCATACTCAAAGACCACAAAAATTAAATGTATCGTCAGGTGTAGTAGGTACTCAGTCAATTGGGCCATTTTTTATCGAAAGAAATTTAACGTCAGATAGTTGGTGTAAATGTTCGGCGTTATTTAGATGAGATATTTCCCGGGCGATAAATTGGTAGACAAGGTAGAATTGAATGGCCTTCGCGTTCACCCGATTTTAATCATAAAGATTATTTTTATTAGGATACTTGAAAAATTCGGTTTACAAAACTTAACCAGCAAGTCTTTGCAGAACTAAACAGTTCCTCAATATACTCTTTCCATCTGTCTATTTTATGCAAATTGTGGACTTCAAGAGAGCTTTTGACACGCTCACACATACGGCCATATGGAAAGCACTGCAGGAAATAGAAATACCAGAAAAAATAGTAAATCTCATCAAAGAACTCTACAGTGACACAGAAAGCAAAATCCTATACAACGGCATAACATCTGACCCAATAGCTATGCTAAACGGAGTAAAGCAGGGCTGTGTTTTATCCTTCATACTATTTAACATTGTACTGGACTCCGTACTAACAAAGGTAAACTCTAATAGAGGAATTTACTGGGGATTAACAAACAGACTGGAAGACCTAGATTACGCTGATGATATATGCCTCCCTAGCACATACAAAACAGGACATGCAACTCCAAGTAAACAAAGTACAAGAAGAATCAAAGAAGGGTGGTCTAGAAATAAACATCAAAAAAACCAAAGAAATGCGATTTGGTATCAGAAACAACCAACCTATTATGATCAACGACCAGAAAATTGAGAGAGTAGCGGAATTTGTATATCTGGGCAGCATAATTACTGTAATGGGGGTACAGAGCGTGATGTACATGAAAGAATAAATAAGGCTCGCAACGCCTACAACATGCTTAACAACATATGGAAATCCAGGATTTACCCAACTAAAACGAAATTAAAAATCTTTAACACAAATGTAAAAGCTGTATTACTGTATGGCTGCGAAACGTGGAAGATATCAGCACCCATAGTACACCAATTACAAGTTTTCATCAATAGAGCGTTACGAAAAATCCTTACGTATATTTTGGCCTAACCGAATCTCCAATGAAAATTTATGGAACCAAAGCAACCAAGAAAATGTTATAAAGCAAATAAGGCGAAGAAAATGGAGATGGCTGGGCCACACACTCCGTAGACCGCCAAATGACATTGCCAGGACAGCGCTGGATTGGAATCCCCAAGGCCGACGGAAAGTAGGCAGACCTAAGGGAACTTGGAGAAGGACAGTACTGGACGAAGGGAGAAAAATGGGAAAATCCTGGCTTGAAATCAAAGCACTAGCCAGAAATAGAGTTCGCTGGAGACACTTTGTGGAAGCCCTATGTTCCTCTTAGGAATCTTGGGACTATATATAAGTCTTGCAGAGCTAATGCAACGAATTATCGATGAATCTCGAATTGTTTCTAGACCATCATGGAGAAATGTGATAGACGCATTCTACCATCGATTAGGGTACTGTCAACTCAGAAATTCAGCACATTTTGAACCCTTACTAACGTAACTATTGTTAAAAAATGTTCTAATCTATCAACTGTTACGTTTTAATGTAGTTGAAAATAATTAATATTAAAAAATTTATTGAAACAATTAGGCGTTGCCAGACTTGTGTTTTATGTATTTAAAACCTTTCAGACTACATAAAATCATAAGTGTTACATATGGTTGAACTCGTATTGAATAGGAGATTTCAATAATGACTAAATATACAGGGTGATGCATTTAAAAAACCAAAGTTAGTAATAATATAAGCGAAACGGAAAATCTGGCAACATTGCAAATATCAAATATGGAATCTCCGTATCCCAAAATAGGTGTACTTCAAATTTTGTACAAATTATAACTAGCAATTTATGAGATAACTGACCGTTTCCAGACTTTTGGGCCACTCTGTATACGCGTAGAAATAATATTTAAAGATTTCTATTAATGTTAACTTAAAGAAATACACAGTAATATATTTAATTTAATTTGTAAATATGTATATGTATGTATACAAATACATTATACAGCGTTTCTATGAAGAACATTTGTTCGGAACACACTGTAACTGTAATCGAACGAAGGTGAAATTTAGGCATAAATTGGTAACACTTATTTGACAGTTGCGGTATTGACACTTTTTGCACTTTATTATTTTGAATTTTAAAGTGAATACCTCTTGTTTTATATTTTTACCTATTTAATAAAAACTGTTCTTTTTAGAACAAAATTAGTGTGTTTTATTTCAAAAATGTCACATAAGAATTTAAATAGTGGTTGTAAAGAGATGGCAATACTTTTGCAATAATTGTGTGACCTATTTGATTTAAAATGAATTTAGGATTTTTTTTATACTTTGGCAACTATGTCAACTTCGATCTCTGACGTAGATAATGACGTGCAACGGTATGTAAATTAGATGAAGTATATACAACTATAAATACATTATAAATACATTACACAACCGCGTTCGGACCATATACACCGTCGCTTCATACATATAGGCTCAGGGAGAGTACCTGTTGTGTGTTATGCATGATACACATAGGAGTTAAAGTGCTAATAAATATGAGTATGTAGCGTAATATTCCACTCATACACGATTTCTACAGTCATATTTCCATTCCCAAATTATAATTTGTATATTTATGGATATAAAATTTCTTAATGCGACACAAATTTTAAACCGCGCCAAACACGTTATATGAAATTAATACGTAAACATTCGTTATAGTTTTAAAAATTTTAATGAAAGAACATTATAAGAAAGATAAAAATTACTTAAAATAACATAAACTATGGGATAGATTAAACCGAAAAACTAAAAACTACATCAAGTTCCTGAACAACTATGCAAGTTCCTAGTAGTTAAAGCGTAACATATATTTTGATACCTTTAGAATAGTTTAAGTGTGTTAAATAAAAAGTGCATATATGTCGAAATCACCACCCCTCAAGAAAATGACGGCAATTCGCCCGATTCCCGAAGCCGTCATGGAAAGTTCGGATAGTAGTGACTCATGTGCTACAACCAGCAATAATAATGACATGAACTTAAGCCTGTACAAACCGAGTTTTAAATACAACGATTTCGTTAACAAACTGGACTCTTATAATAATAACCAGTTGCTACTACCTACGCAGTTTTATAAGACGCTGCTTGCTAAAGCAGTGTTATCAAGCAATGATGATAAAAGCAACGTGTATAAAAATATGTTTTTTGGAAAAGATCGAGATTTTGATCAGGTAAGTTGATATTGTATTTAAAAGATTTTAAAGAAATCGCCCTTAATATTTTAAATACACAGTACAAAATACAAATCAACATTTAAAATTTTCGACTGTTTACGGAACCATTCCTTGACTTTATCTCTTAAGAATATTAAGATTTTTTAAGATTTAAAAGTTATTAAAGTTTAATTACTTTACCTGTTAAATTTTTTTAACTTCTAATGATGTCTACTTTCACAAATTTATTATTATTAGCGTTTTTTAAATTCATTAAAATCTTAATAGTACAGTTGCCAGATAGTTGACCCCTAAAAATCATACGAACAAGCTGTGTTTCGCAGAGAATATTTCTTTTGGGACACCAAAATAGACGCAAAAAAGTATACCACATTTACCCCCAGGCTTTCCCCTTAAAACCCCCTTAAAGGGGGTATAAACACAAAAAAATCGATTTATTAAAAATCTGTACGCCGTAGAAAAAAATGTGTCAAATAAAAAGTTTAACTGAAATAATTTTAAGCAAAAATGTTTATTAGCACTTTTTGTGTAGAATAAACTGTTCTCTAAAAAATAACGGTTGAAGCAATCGGCGATTTAAAATATAAGTTACGTGCGCGAAATAAATGTTCAATAAAATTTGTATCAGCTCGACGGTAAAAATTTGGTATCTTTTAATCCAAGTGTGGCGCGGATTTTGCCATTTTTTATGATTCTCGTGAGATTAATAAAATTGATCACTTTCATTGAACCGTCGTAGTAAAATTTCTATTCGTATAGATTAATCTTTAAAACCTTTAACACGAAATTTTAATTTTGAGTTGTGGCAACAAATGTGAGGCATTTCTTCTTCTTCTTCAAGTGCCCTGTCCGTTGCGAACGTTGGCTATTAACATGGCAATTTTGATCTTGTTTGCGGCGCTTCTGAAAAGTTCGACCGATGTGGGCCCGAACCACTTCCGCAGATTTTGGAGCCACGAGTGTCTTCTCCTGCCTGGCCCTCGCTTACTGTCTATTTTTCCCTGGACAATCAATTGTAGCAGACGGTACTTATCGTGTCTCAATATGTGGCCTAGATATTCAAGCTTTCTTTGTTTAATTGTATGAGGCTTTCTTTGTACTGTGAGGCATTTGAAATAATATAAAGCGCTGAATTTAATGTTTTACATTTCAAACAATCGCACGTCACGGAAAATGCCTCCAAGTATATGGTTTTGAGTATATTGTACAGCAGAAGTTTGATTCTTTTGAAAAACGTATTATCCGACAAGCGAGAGCTGGCGGGTTGCGCGTAGAACAAATTGAAAAGTGGAAGGGATTGCTCATTTCTATTGCAGTCGGCTAGGAGTTCACATCGTGTAATTAGCGCTAGATTTCTGACAGTGTTGTCAAGTATTTACATTTTTATTTGGTGTGGCCCTATATCATAAACTATTATTTATATTTATTAAAATGGCAAGTGTATTAAAAGGCATCCCTTTGGGATCTCAAGCACGAGAAATAATTTTCAATGTTTTTAAGTTTACCGATCGTTCAGAACGATTTACGAAGTGGAAATTGAAACGTCAATAAACGTATTTTTATCTTTAATTGTGGCTTATTCCCAGTTTAATAGTAATTAATGAGAAAGTTTAAATACTGCGTTTTTAAGCATATTTCAAATGCATCACATTTCGCATCATTTTCTATCTCCTTTCTTAAATATAGATGTCATATATGCCTCCGTCCATTCCTTTGGGAGCTGTTCTCTATTTATGGCTCTCTTAAATATCCATTGTATCATCCGGTGTAATTTTTTGAGCCGTATTTTATAAGCTCAGGTGAGATGCCTCCAGGTCCCGGTGCTTTCTTATTTTTGATTGCTTTTATGGCCGTTCTCATTTCCCTATCTGTTATTTCTATTTCTTGCTGTGTGGATTTGGTTCGTCTTCGCATGTTTTCTTCTCCAATGAATTGTTGTCTTTGTTCTGTTAACAGTTCCTTGTAATAGTCGTTCCGTTCTTTCTCCTGTATATTTCCCAATTTACTTTTTTCCTTTGAGTTTTGTTTCAATTCTCTCAGTACTTTCCATGACTCCGAAGTTCTTGTACCTCCTATGTATGTTTGAATATTTAAGCAGGTTATTTCCTATTCTTTATTCTTTTGTTGTGTTATTTGTTTTTTCACTTCTCTATCTTTTTCTCTATATTCTTTATAAACTTCATCGTTGTTTGTAGTCAGCCATTTTCTGTATACATAGTTGCTTTTTTTCTTCAATTATTCTTTTTGTTGGTACTAATATTTATTTCATAATAGTGCTGTTTATTTGTTATATGTTCTTTTTCTCCAAGGGCTTTGAATGCTACTTGTTTTATACACGTCTTTATATGCTCGTATATTTCTTCAATATTGCCGTATCTAAATTCTATTAATTTTTGGTGTAGACGTTGTCTTATTGATTGTTCTTGGAGTAGTTCTATATTGTATTGTTTTTCTCTTATAGTGTTCAACGGTTCTTCTGTAAAGGGGGTGTTATTGTGTTTCCAATGAATGCCCATTTTTGCTGTCAGTAGTTTATGGTCCATTCCACACTCTGCTCCTCTTCTGACTCTCACATATTTGATCTTTATTCTGGTATCTTGTTTGATTATTAGGTAGTCTAGTACAGATTTTAGCTTTCGTGTTTCTTGCGCCCATATATAATTATGAATATTTTTATGTTTGAAGAATCCGTTGGTAGTTTTTAGGTTGTTTAGTTCGCATAATTCAATCAGACGTTCTTCTTTATCGCTTTGTTCATCCTCTCCAAATCCCTCCACTACTTTATCGTTTTCTTTCCTTCCGGTTCTGCCGTTAAGGTTTCCTGTTAAAATTATCTCCACGTTTATCTTAATTAGCTTTATTTGATGTTGAACTTGTTCCGTGAGATGTTCTTTTTCTACTCTCGGGGTATCCTCTGTTGGTGCATATACTCCGAGTATCACTGTCTCTTTACCGTGTATGTCTATATGCATTTGAATTATTCTCTCGTAGATTGGCTCCCATGTTTTAATAATGTTCTTCAACTTGTTTTTGATTAGTATTACCCTCCTACATTCTTTATTAACTAGCCTCCAGCAGTGGATATGGTCTTCTTGTTTCCGTTCCATTTGCTTTCTTTTTGGTTTCTGTTGTTATTAGTATGTCGATGTTACTTTCTCTAAATTCCATTCCACGTTGCACATATAAATGTTCTTCTAACTTTTCGTTTTGATTTTTGGATTTGAAGTTTGATAGGGGTTAGACTGGGTCTTCCAAACTCTTCGCAACATTGTCCTCCCCCTCCGTATCTGATGGGACTCCTTCCTGATATTTAAAGGCTCCTACCTCTTTTGGTTATACCGGGAGATGACCAAAACTTCTGTCTTTTAAATATAATACTCTGCATATTATTCTTCTTCTTCTTCTTCAGTGCCTTATCCGGTCCGGATGTTGGCGATCATCAAGGCTATCATGGTTTTGTTGACTGCTCTGCGAAACAGCTCCGCTGAGGTCATCCCAAACCATTGTCGGAGATTTTTCAACTACGAGATACGACGGCGTCCCGGTTCCCGGTCCTCTTCTGCATATTATTACAGATTTCAATAGAATATCTATTGACAACTCTTTCAATATAAGATTATTTTACCTTATACCAAGTATTTTACAAGATATTGATACGTGTCAAAAGTCCGATACGTTACATTTTGTCTAAACTTTCGTATTTTATTTAATTTTGAAGCACTTGGTACATCATTTTAAATTTCAGTAAATATTTTTTCATAAGATCAATTCGCAAGACTATTTTATTCATTGTGACTTACAGTTAGGTCCGTCAACACCTACAGTAATACCGTCAGAAAATCTTTTTCAAAACTACTGCTTACTGAAATAATGTTATTTAATAATATTTGTTCTACCAAAGATGTACCTGAAATATTCTGCGTTTATGATCGTATTGTAAATTCTCTGAATGAAATAACCGTTATTTGGTTTCATTACGTTTCATCACGTCCCATTTGAAAACTATCACGTTAAAAAACACCCTAATAGTTTCGTCTGATTTAGACCACCCATCAAGTCAACGGTATTTTTTTATTTGAATATCTTCTTATAAATAACTATTGCTATCCTATTTCCTTTTCCACTAAGCAGGTTAAGTATATAGTTGTAAGTACTTCTTGTGTCTCCAAGCCTCTGATAAAGGGTGGTAAGATATTTTTTGATACCTTTCCTATGAATAGGAACCGTTTAGCGACGTATATGGATACGTTTGCAGCTTCTCTAAGTCATTTGTTGTGTGCTGCTTGCATCTTATTTTTGTTGCTAGGACTTTTGTGTCTCCATACAAGAGATGCATATGTAATTATTGGTAGTATATTCTTTCTCTTCTTTTTATGTAAACATGGCATTTTTAATGTGTCTCCAGTTAGTCGTCATTTCATCGTTTTCGTGGTTTTCCTACTGATCTTTCTATTGGGGACCGTCTCTTGCTATCTTTACTCTATTTTTTTTCATTCGGCTTATATGATCATTCCATGCTATTCTTCTATTTCCTTCCAATCCTTGATGTTCTCCACCCTTAATCTACGCATCTCTGTACTTATAGCTCTGCCCTATATTTTTTTACCTTCAATTTTTCTAAATGTTTTCATCTCTGCTATACGTCATTATTGGCCTGATGACTGTTTTGTCTTCTTCTTCTAGTTCCATGACCGTTATCGATCGTTGGATATCATGTTGGCTACCATATTCGCTATCGTGACTTTATTGACAGCAGCTCTAAATAACGATGTAGTTGATTTTCCATACCATTGCCTTAGATTTTTCAGCCATGATGTTCTTCTTCTACCAGGACCACGATTACCTTGGATCTTTCCTGAATGATCAGATGTAAAAGATCATATTTTTCAGGGTGTCTCATAATATGACCGAAGTATTCCAGCTTGCGTTTGTTTATTATATTGACCAGGTGTGTTGTTTGGTTCAGCCGTCTAAGGACCTCCTCATTTCTAACTCTG